TTCTCTGGTACTGTAAAGCCACGCCATCCAGCAGTCATTTCACGTTTTTCTTTCAAGACCACAAGGCTCTTCCTTCCATTGGACACCCTCTCTAGACATCCATGTGCAGTCTATTCTACATCGCTCTTGTCTTTGCTGCTTGGGCTCGCAGCAGCGCCGCCACAGCGTTCCCTCATCCCAACGAGTCTGGGCTCTTGTCGCAGATATCTCCTGACTCTGCGGCCAAGGCCAAGAGATCCCTTCGAGTCGCTGGCCAAGAAGTTGTCCAGAGCACGGGGAACGGGTACGGTGGGATTTTCAAGTCAGCAGGCACGAGTATCAACAAAGTCATCCCAAGGCCGGACTCTCCGAAAATGAAAGAACTGCTTAAGAAGGCCAACTTGGCCCTGGCGATCAAAAATGCTTTGAAAAAAAGTAACAAGTAAAAGGTGGTTCCCTCAAGTCCTCGCGTCGTATAGAAGCCCGGGAAAGTAGCTTCAGCTGCAAAGAGAGAGTCTGCAGCTTCCCTCTGGCAGTGCGAAAAAGTCATGACGAGGTCATTCTGGACAACTTTCTAGTAAACAAATACAATCGAAAGTTTGGTCGTGAGATGTTTGTCGTGTTGATGCAAGCATCTACTATTAGCGTAATTGATGGGCCGTGTGACTTTGTATATAAACCGATACATTTACGGGGAGGGAGTCGTCCTCTACGCGGTAAAAACGTTATTACTGTGCTTGCAATTTACAACCCGTCATCGGAAAATGGAGGCTTTGTCGTGTCTCCATGAACGAAATCGAATGCCTGTGAGGCCCGTACGGCAGACAGCTATGTAGTCAGTTACATCGCCATGCTGGGTCGACTGAAAAGTGTTGGGATGCCTACAGCAGGTTGCAGTCGATGGTAGAAGGCAATCTTGCACCGCGGAATAAACACCTAGATGCTGAAATACATATTTTGAGTTGACACCTCAAGCCCGACCGAGCAGAGCGAAACTAGGTCGTCTACGACTTACGCTGGGAAACGCGTTACTAGTATTAAACTCTTAGTTGATTTCGTTATTCGGACATACATCATAAAACGCACTTACTCATAGCTAGTTAAAAACACTTCTATTATCACTACAAACCATAGCTAACCACATATTTAAATCCACAATCCCTTTGCGGATCATGCACGCTTTATGAATTCAACGATGCGGTATATGGTACCAGTGCTATACAGATACGACACATTTATTCGACAGACACAAAAATCCGACGAACAAAGCCGTGCAAGTAACAATAGGAATCTACCATCAGACTTGGTCTTTGTATTCCGTATGTTTTTGTGCTTTCTCTGAAATTACGTGTGGTTTATGACCATTTGCGTATGTTTTATGAAACGGGACTTTGTGATATGGACGGGATGGTATTCAGAGGTGTCGATCGTTGTCTGTACACACCACAATTAAAATGATTGTAAACGCGCCTGCAGTTGTTTTCCAAAAAAAAAAAAAAGCTTTATAATATGTCGTCGCCACTCGAATTTTAGACGAAGAGTTGTATCTCTCAAATTCCAATCCCTGTAAAAGATGTGGATGACTAAACGGTTTATATAGGAAATCCTGCGCTTGGTCACAAACTGAGAGCAAAGCTTTCTCACTCGTGTTTAGGGCCTCCAT